AGCCATTAAAACTTCTATTCATGTGACTACAGATTACGCACTAGCCAAAATCCACTTGGGACATGGAATACCCAACCGTTGATGAATGAACAGCAGAATTACAAGATGTTATACAGAAGGTAAGGTCTAACATTGACAAGGCTCAGGAGTGATAGCAACAAGCCTACAACTGTGAGAGATGCCTAGACACATTTAAAGTAGGTGATTTAGTATTATTAAGAACACATCCTGTGTCTTGTGCAGTATATCATTTTCCTGCAAAATTTGCTCCGAGGTAGAATGAACCTTTCGAAATTACAAAGTGTGTTACTCCATTAGTGTATGAAATAAAAGATTCTAGATCAGATGCAGTTATAGGACGACTTCATATTTCTAATACAAATTGATATATATATATATATATATATATTTCACTAGTGAAAATTCTCTCGACAGTGAAGAATATAGTAATTGTCCAAAGCGGTTGCAGCAAAACGAAAATGTCGACAACAGAACAGTTGACGGTTGTTCCACCACAAGAAAAATGGCTTCTGCTGGTGTGTCCACTTCTAATTTTTAATTGGATCCTGCTGATGACTTACCTCTATCTCCCCCTTCAAAAGATATTGCGACCATGTTGCAGAGTTAATTATCATAGTTAGCTGGTCTTCAAAGTGTTTAACTTTTGGTAAGCAAAACTAGAGCCGGAAGGTATATAAGATCTAGCTGAAGATCCAAAAACACAAATTATATTTTTCTTGCAAAGTACTTTTAGTTAAACTGTAAATGATTCATGATGTCAGTCAAGATGGGGTTAATAGTAAGGATTCTAAAATTGGGATATGTTATATGAAGTGATTAATGTCATCACTTCATTGTTCAAGGGGAAGAAGTTTGTGATAGCAGATTCTATTTTTTATGATTATGGCTGTGCTTATCCTTCATTTATTATTTCCTTCTATCGTTTAGTATACCTATGAATTTTTATTTGCATTAAAAGCTAACTCACATTCTAGTTAATCATTTGTATCTTGAGTAAATATGTATATATGATGAAACTGACACCAGCTTCCCTAGCAGTGATGTACAGATACTATTAATGTAGCAGAAAAGCATGTAAATTGATGATCATATGAGGTGTACTCTCGTGACTTATTCAGTGAACAAATACCCCTGCCAGAAGCTTCACTAAGAGAGAGAGAGTCACGAGACGATTAGTGAATTATTGCTGATTATCACTCGATATTGTTATTGGTATTTCTTTTGCCCCCCAGTGGCACAGCGGTATGTCTGCTGACTTACAACGCTAGAAAACGGGTTTCGATACCCGTGGTGGGCAGAGCACAGATAGCCCACTGTGTAGCTTTGTGCTTAACTTCAAACAAACGAATGTATAATAATAATCATATGAAACAGACTTCTGAACAAGGTACTGCTTCTGAAGGCACTTAAATATTGTTAAATACGAGTTTCTAAGATACAAACTGAGTGAACACGTTTACAAACAGCAAAATTTGACTGTACAATGATACGATAAAATATTCAGATAGTTAGAATTCTAAGTATTCCTGCCTTCTGCTAGCCTAGAGGTAAGTCTGAGTGATATAGGGTTAAAAATCAGATTTCGATACTCGTGGTGACGCAACACAGATGACTCATTGTGTAGTTTTGGGCTTAACAACAAAAAGTAATTAGTCGAACTGCAACCAAAGAAATAATTAGGTGTTTTAATACATCGAAATCACCATTAACTTTATTCACTGGTATAGTTTTTGCACCAAGTTTCTGGTTTCATTCTACGTCAGAGCATTAAAATATTATGAATTTAGATCGGTTTATAAGTTGTCTAGAAATCAGTTTGCAAACTTTAACATATATTTGAGATGAAATATACAGATGAGTTTCAAGGTTTTCATAAAAGATTCGCACACGAGGTAAATTAAAATGATTTATTAACACTTTTAGACTACAACACAATGATGGAAAGATCTTCTGTGAAATATCCTGATAAAAAAAAAGAAGACAATTAAAGTGTCAATGATATGATTATTATTTTAATTTATTTTTGGTGTCACCCGGTGGGACAGTGGTAAGTTTACAGACTTACAACGCTAAAATCTGACGTTCGATTCCCCGTCGTGAGCAGAGAAGATATCCCTGTTCGGCTTTACTCTGAAACAAATGAATAAAGTTTTTAAGATATTTCGTAAATGTTTTCTTTTTGTGTGTGTACAAAATGTGGGAAAGAAATTCGTGGTATATAGAAATCCGGAAAAACGTAACCGTCACTTGCTTTAGAACTAAATGAGGCCATATATTAGAGTAAGATAACATACAGTAGTTTGTCATCAGATATCGTGGACCACAGATATATGCTACCAGTGACGTGAACGTTCTTCATTTCGTCTAAACTTATTAGAAAAGAATAGATATAAAAATTGCATGATTTCATGTCATAATAAACACTGCAAAGCATTTCTAAATGATTGAAATATTGTCACACTTATCAAATTATCAAAATAAGGTTTCTATTCCTTCAGCATATTATAATCAGTTTCTTCTGTTCTTATTTGTTACGTCAAAGCATAGTCAGCCAATCAGTGATACCAATAGTGAGCGATCCTTAGAGTTCGTTTGCAACTGAATTTTAACAACCAAACAGTTAAATTATATTTTATCACCATCTAATGTTTGCACAGTTGACTTTTCTTTGCTTTAAGTAAGCATATCTCAGTAAGAAACACGATGAACGATAAACAGTGTCCAATACCCAAGATAACAAAAACTGAAACTGTTTCATTAATGTTGATAGGAACCAAGTCTTGTTCATTTATCCCATCTGTTTGACGACAGGTGGCGTTAGTTACTGTCCAATAGTTATCTCTCCAGCGCTTTGTTAGGCCCATGGCGTTCAACCAAAATATACTAGAGGAAATAAAAAAAGTGAGTTTTGATCATTCATTTCTGTTTACAATTAATTGTATTGAAATTGTTTACACTTTCTCATTTTATTTGATATATTTTTCGTTTTATATTCCCTTCTAAAATGATTAAATAATGTGTCAGCTTACGTTTAAACAAATATCTCCTTCCTTAGGTATAAAAACATAACAAATATATTATTATAAAACTTCGTTTCCTAGGATTTTGTCCAGTGCTTATCTCTTAGTTTTCAAGTTAAAGTCTAGAAACGTTTTATCTCTGTTTTATAGAGAAGTTTTAGACGGCCTGGCGAAGTTAGACGAAGTTTCTAATCCCCGTCACACCAAACATGTTTGCCCTTACAGCCGTTATAATGTGACGGTGAATTCCACTATTCGTTGGTAAAAGAGCAGCCCAATAGTTCGCAGTGGGTGGTGATGCCTTCCTTCTAGTCGTACACTGCTAAATTAGGGACGGTTAGCGCAGATAACCCTCGTGTAGCTTTGCGCGAAATTAAAAAACAAACAAGTTTTAGCTTTATGCTTTACTTTGATCAACTTACGGAAATGGAATCTTGGAGCTCTTTGTATATTTTTCAAGCTAATAATCGTATCCATTCTAAGTATCTAAAGCGCCTGATTTGGTGTCTGTACTAAAACTGATAGGATAACCTGAACATTTAAATTATCTGTCTTTTTCTTGAAGAATTATGGCTTCTCAGAGCCACATGATTATGGTAAGCTATCCATCTCTTCATGGTTGCTTCTCAATAGCTTTTCACTATATTTCTCAATGAAAAATGTTCAGCACATAAGTTTATGAATAGTATTAGCGTAAGAAAAAATTTGTAATAGATTTTCTCAGCATGCCATTAATAAAAATCTATATAGTCTAGCGCTAAGTTTACCGGAAAAATGAGGTCAAACTCCAGGATCGATATGTTTCATAGGAAAGTGTTATCATTTTCTAAATGTTTCCTGCACACAGTATCAGCTGGCAAGGCTCAGATGCAAGAATTTTAAGGATATTTAATTAATAATAAGAACTTCTCAATTAAAGTAAAAAAAAAAAAAGACATAATATATTACAGAACCACACCTCGTATATCCGGTGCCGACGAAGCCTTTTGCCCAGTACCAGGGCCATTTAGGTCGGCTGGGATACGATAAACATAGCAGTGGTTCTGACACTGCTTATATCATCAAACCGGTTGGATAACAATTGTTTCGATGTGAAGTGGTTAAACTTGATGAATTGTTGTTTTTATCAATTTTATTTGAATCGCTACACATCAGAATTAGGTTAAGTTACAGTTCTCTAAAGGCCTTCGTGTTGTTAATTTATGCCTTTATTGTAGATAAATAGCTACATACTGTGTTATATCATATAACAAACTAGACTCTTATATCTTGTTTCCTACATTAATCAGAATTACTGCATTCTTTTGGTTTCGGCTCACTTCATATTCTGCTACTGTTCCTAGGCAAACATAATCTTGGTAGTGTCACATTTCTGGATGTTGGCAATCTAGATTGCCACTGCCACAACCAACAGCCAATAAGCTTGCGGGGCAGGAGCAGTATCCCTTCCCTAATTACTGCCCCCAGTAGCACAGGGGTATGTCTGCGGACTTACAACGCTAGAATCCGGGTTTCGATACCCGTGGTGGGCAGAGCACAGATAGTCCATTGTGTAGCTTTGTGGTTAATTACAAAACAAACAAACAAACAAACAATCCCTAATTGCTACCATCAAACTACATGAGGATTTTTATGAAGAAACCTACAAAATATTTACTATTTATAATAATAGGTCAACTAAGTAATGGGATTAGGAATATTAATCATTGAAAATATAGAACAATATTTTCTGGGTTAACATGACAAATGATGTTAATTTTTCAAAATGTATAAATATAAATAAATTTCTTACTGTTTATTAAATATTTTTCTATGCGGGCTGTCGTACTGAAAGGCTATAGCCCAGTTAGAAGGAAGAAGACTCTCTTTGGCGATGTAGAAATCACAAACAGTGCTGGATTCATCAGAAAGTTGTCGCATCTTATAATTCATCATAGCATCCTCATTAATCCAAGCTACAGAGCCGTTCCTCACAAGCTTCATAATGCTGTCAACTTTTAGATTCAGAACACCGTACTGAATATTGGTTTCCCAGATTGTTTTAAAATACTCGGACCTCTAAATAAATTGATGATGAGAAAAGAAAAAAAAACTCCATATAGGTATAGGGTATTTAAAGTTTCAACTTTCACGAAAGTTGTCTTTAAATTTTTTATGTTTATTAAACGTGGTAACTTATTGTTCCTTTTTAAAATAAGTTAACAGTGTGACATAAAATATTTAATTTGAAACTTTAGACTTTTTACTAAAAAGTAAACATAATTATAATAGTCAAAATCAAAATACTATTAAATTAAATATTTGAATCTACAATGAAATTCCGAAGACACACAATAAAAGGCATTACTTACTCTTTTTATAAATAGTTGTACTTTATATAGTAGTTTTACCGTACTTTATATAGTAGTTTTACCGTACTTTATATTAAACGGAGAACGATTTCAGTGTCGTGAATGTGTTGAAAGATTGAACGAACTCTAAAACCTTTTTTTCTAAGCTTAAGATATTGTGTTAGTGATTTAAAAGGTCGGTTGTAGAAAGGAAGTAAACAAAAAGCTCGTAGTTTATTTAATGCAAAGTTTATCGAGTATTTACATTGATGATAAAAACAGCTATTTTCATCAGGTTTTGGAGTAATCAGCTGACTACGTATAACATATATTTCTTTGTCATAAAAACAAAATTATTTAGGAACATTTAGATATGTGGTATTTGCGGTTAACAGACCTTGAAGTAACTATGAGCCAAAGATCCATTTGTTACAGCTAGCTGGAATGAAGGATACTTTTCAGTGAAACTTTCTAAGGTATTCGTTGGACTTTCAGTTTTCTTAAGACTTAAAGTAGACGTTAGATTTCCACTGTAGACAGCGCTGAAAATCACCATAGCAAACCACCAAACGGCCATTACTACTCTAGAACTCGCTGTTTCCGGCAACCAAGCACACCCTTGAGAGAATTAATCAGAATATTTTTTTTAAAAATGAGATTAAGGTAAATATAGCTCCTAGTTCAGACATTTTCGTATCATTTTCATCTCTTTCCTATTGAGTATCTGTGTAGCCATTTATTAATAATAATAACATATGATACTGATTTAATATTCTTCCCCCTGGCGACTTTTCTTACATATATGAGGTCATATGTTTTATCTACAAGTAAAATTTTAGAAATGAAATTGTTCCGAAAGAGACAGTTTTTTTTTCTCTTTGTAAATTACTTATCAATAACGATACTTCACATAATAACTAACATTTGCTAGATAAACGATTAGGGGCTATTATAGTTTATTATTTAAACCAAGTTACATACACATCATATAATTAACTATTAGCAACATAAAATTTTGGATTTGCTTAAACTAGCACAATAAATAATAAAATAAGTAGAGCTACCTTTCAACCAAAATAACATTTTAAAGTAAATTAGGCCATTATGCGATAAATAACAGATTAGGTCTATCTAACCTTGGATAACAAGTTGTCGATACGAGTTTTCCAAGCATTGACCGACAAGTTCTATCACAGATGGTGTTTTATTTTCTGAGATATTGCTATACACAAGGGTGAGGAGAAAGATGACAATTCCCAAAACTAACATGATGAAAACTAGCGTGATCCAGAGCTGAGAAAAATAAAAGTTAGGTTTAACACTACATAGAAATAAAATATTTTGTGAGGTCCTAATAAAAGACAAAAATAAGAAAGTTAATAATATAAAAGCTGTTATTTTTATGAAATAGCTTATTTTAGGAACCAAATGAGCAATGAACCACAAGAACCTCTCCCTGACATTTTAATATATAATCAGCATTCATAATAATAAACAATTTTCAATTGATCTCCATAAGATGCTTTTTTACTGCAAGTATATTTCTCCCAAGGCTAAAGAAAATGTTAGAGCATATGTTGGCCTCTTTTCTCGTATATTCAAGTTAGTTACTTTGATGGTGATCCTGAACTTAACTTTAACCAAGCGAAATTAAATTTTGTTTCATGATTTCAATAATCACCGATGTTTGCGTTAAAACATTAAAATGTTTAGTCATTTTTTACGAGAAGAAACGTATATCATTACAGATTTTCTGTACAAGATGAAGATAGTACATAACAGACACAAAGATTGCTATTTAATATCTCATCAACACATGATTCATTTAATCAACTTTGTACTCCCTTTGACAAAGAAATGCCCAATTTTATGATTAATTAATTGATAAATAAGATTTGAGTAACACCCTGCCTTTTTTTAATAATGTTGATTACTTAACACACTTAACTGTTTACAGTGTTAAAATTATATATATATTACTTGGAATCATTTTGTCTTTTTTTAACTATTGCTTCAGCTTTTCCAAATTCACTATATATATATATATATATGTAGAACTAACCTTTGTTGAGTAAGGTTCAAAGAGAATCCAGGCACGACTTAAAAAATTAAGGTGACTTGTAAATGAATTTTGTGGTTTCGTAGAAAACAGGGTACGTAAAATCAACCACTTGAGCGCGCTCTACGTCCCAAGAAAGATCAGCTATTGCCATGTCTGCCACCTGAAATGTCAGAGAGTTATAAGATTTTTATTATTTAGAGAGTTGCATAACGTACCAATCAGTTTTCACAAGAGAATAACTGTTATCAATACTTTCAGAGTAATAGTTACACTGATAATATTTAATCTCTAGTAATTTATTACTGCATCAGAATTTAGAGTTATTAGCTTAACGTAGAGGCTATCAGTATTGAAACTTTAGTAAAATAGTATTTTAGAACAAAAAACAATAAAAGTATTTTTTTCAACATTTTTGATGTTCTTAGAATAATCACTGGATATTGTTAAGTTTGAAAGATTCTGTATCACACTATAAAATAAATTATGTTTTCAATGTTGATTTATATTTTAGTATTAAATAATTATTATAAAAATATAAATTCCATTATGAGTTAAACTATGAATTTCCTTTAATACTTTTTCCAATTAAGTTTATAAGTAAATAACTAAAAATCGTTGAAAAACGTTCTTAGTAGCAGAAGGAATAAACATATTTTAAATCTATTTTATAATTTCTCAATAAAGTACTTACTGTCCATTGTAAAAGCACATAGTTGACACTTTTATAAAAATAGAAAATATAAAGAGACAGTGCTCTAGTAACTTCACACTGCTTTTATAGTTCTCTCAAGAAAGTTTCGTTTCTCTATGCCAAATAACAAGTGTAAATACGTTCAACTTTGAGTAGAAAACAGATTAGATTCTGTGGTGCACAGGTGACTCAAAAATGTACACAAAGAAAACGATTTCTGTAACTGCGGTTGCTTAATAGTTTGTGTATATGGATAGACCCGTCTAATTTCAGTTTATGGGATATATTTTCCATCTGTTTATTTGTTTGGAATTAAGCACAAAGCTACACAATGGGCTATCTGTGCTCTGCCCACCACAGGTATCGAAACCCGGTTTCTAGCGTTGTAAGTCCGCAGATATACCGCTGTGTCACTCTTATGATGAACAGAACCGAATATTTTCACAAAAGATCTTATGTTTTCATATTCAGATGTTTTTTTTCTTTACTTGATATGAAATAACAAACAGTGAGATACAAAATCGAGTTATTTTCTATTTGGTGTGCGTGAGGAGACTGCTTTTTCAGTGCGAAGCTACACAAGGGCTATTTGCTCTTTGTCTACCGAAGGATTCAAGCCTTGGATATTGCGTTTTAAGTCTGCGAATTTACCGCTGACCCAACGAAAGACACGAAGGAGAAAAAAAAAGAAGCAAAATATTTTTAAATTAGAAGAATTGCGTTTTTTTATATGTGGCTCACCACAGTAAGCATAAATTCAATCTTTTCAAAATAATATTTCCCAATTAGCAGAGCGGATGTTTTTAATTTATGGTGCTCAATTTCATAGCTGAAAACATTATATCATAAAAAAATAACTTTTAATATTAAAATGTGCCTATATCAATACGCTGTAAGTTGGATTGAAATTAAATGTTACAGTTTATCTCAGTTTCATCATATAGATGTGTTATATATTTCAACTTTTTATATTATTTTCGGTGTAGTTTGTTCTACTTTGGCGCTAACACATCTGGTGAAAAATACGTGTACTAAATTTCGAATTAGTTAAAAATGAACAAACGACGGTTACGTGGAAATCACTCTTTATACACATAAAACAAGAGACAGAAATGAAGACGTTGCAGTGATGACGAATACTTTGGAAATGTGACATTTTTATAGATTATAAAGTACTTATAAATATTTCTTTTTTACAATGTAAGCAAGTGAAAATATTTAGGGTTTTAGTATTTTTAACTATAATTGCTTTGCAAATATGTAACTTAATTATTATTAGTTTATTGCTTTGTTGTGATTTTCTATTTTTTAATGATATAAGGACAGTATGCTATAACTATTCTTTACTTAACATATACTTCAACTTATGTGTAAAGGCAACTTGCGTCGACACTCTTGAGTTTAGATCTACTCTGCTTAGCCAACAAAACGAAAGGGTAGACAAAAGGAATCTAATCTTATAATTAACCACCAACCATATATTCTGTTAAGTTATAATAATGTGTCTAAAAATTCATTTTTATATTTACCATCTAAAAATGGTTCGGTGTGTCCTTTGATCTTAAGAACTAACAAAAGCTTTATAAAGGCTTAGAATTTTAACTCCCAGGTTATAACTTTCTCTTTCGTTCGGCCCGGCATAGCCAGGTGGTTAGGGCGCTCGACTTGTAATCTGAGGGTCGTGGGTTCGAATCCCCGTCACATCAAACATGCTCCCCTTTCATCCGTAGGGGCGTTATAATGTGCGACCAATCCCACTATTTGTTGGTAAAAGTGTAGCCCAAGAGTTGGCGGTGGGTGATGATGACTAGCTGCTCTCCCTCTAGTCTTACACTGCTA